TCAGGTTATAGAAGAGTCTTGCCAGTGGTGGGATTCCATTTTTATTTTTTTTACTACCGGTTCTGTGGATGTGGCTTGGTGGGCATGGCTTGGTGGGGGTTCTTGTGACTGAGTGGGCATGGCCAACTTGACATCACTTTATTAACTGGACATTATTAAATTTAAACTTTATTTGGGATTATTAAAACTTGGACTCTGGACATTTTATAAAGGAAACATGGCGCTTGTCAAAGAAGCGTAAGGAGAGGAATAGAAGAGGAATAGAGCAACAGTGACACCTACTGGTCAGGGAAATGTTAAAGGGAAAGTGAAGAGAGTAGAAAAAAGAAAGTGACTCTCTCTTTTTTTACTTTGAACATAGTTACAAGATTGCTGCAAGACCCAGATAAGCTGCCTGCACCTGGGAATTGTTGATAGAAAAGAATTACAGGGACAAAGAGTGGAAACAGTGTAAATTATAAACACTGTGACTCCTGGACTGGATACAGACTTCAGCAATTGAGCAATAGAGCAACTGAACTGGGAAGTAATAGAGTTTGCTTACAAGACAAGGAAGATTTTTATACTTCAGCCTTTAACTTCTCTTCTTGGGTTTTTATAATATGCTAGATACAATTCTATGGTCTTGGTAGGCCTTGGATTACAACTTGGTGTGTCCCTGTGGATTATAATTAATGACTTTGTGGCTAGCATAGAAACTATTAAAAAGAAAAGGAGGAGGAGGAGGTGGTGGTGGTGGTGGTAATTTTGTGGAAAAGAACCTGGATTATGGATATTTTGGTTTGTCTTTGTGAAATATAGCACTTAGAAGTAGAAAGCAACTTGGGGTTTGGAAGTAAGAACTGGAAATAAGAAAGAAATTGATGGACCATATTAGATACATTTTATAATTAGACATTGTGGTGTACCACAGTGTTTGATTCATAGTACTGTTAGGGCTATTGACGGGCTGATTTTGTAAAATAAACAATTATCCAAAGCATTTGTCTACCCTAAATTTTAACTCCAAATTATTAAAATGACAAATAATGCAAATAAAACAGGGAGGAAAACACCCTCATCTGCACCTTGCTCAACAGCATCCTCAGTGATATTGAGCCCTGTGAGCCAACGCTCCTTTGACACCATGTTGCAGAATGAAGAGCTAAACGCCTTTCAGTCAGAAATGAAAAAGATGATGCAATCATTACAGGAATCACTACAAGGACAGATGGCTAAGAATGATGAGGATACGGCAGATAGGATGCAACAGATGAGGGGGGAAAAAGGAATGGAAGACAAAGCCAAGGTGGCGCAGTGGTTAAATGCAGCACTGCAGGCTACTGCTAGATCAGCAGGTCAGCGGTTCAAATCTCACCGGCTCAGGGTTGACTCAGCCTTCCATCCTTCCGAGGTGGGTAAAATGAGGACCCAGATTGTTGGGGGCAATATGCTGACTCTCTGTAAACCGCTTAGAGAGGCCTGAAAGGCCTATGAAGCGGTATATAAGTCTACTGCTATTGCTATTGCTATTGCTATAAAAATAGGTAATTTCCAGCAAATAATTACTAAAAATGAACAATGGATCCAGAAAGTGGAAGAAAAGGCAGAGCAAACGGATTAAAAAGTAGAAGAGATGGAGAATAGACTCTCTAAGGTAGACCACGATCTTGAACGATCCATAATTACATTGGAAATGGATAAGGCAAAATATTTTTTAAGATTTCAGAATGTCGAGAAAGAAAAAGGGGAAAACCTGGTGGAGAAAATGGCAGAACTATTGGCAGAGGCATTGGAAATGGACTAACAGGAAGCTCTCTATGGAGTGGAAAAAATATTCAGAGTATATACAAGTTACCAAGAAAACAAACTTCCTAGAGAGGTACACGTGAGGATTTTCAAAGAAGGCAATGAGAGCAGGGATACTCCAAAGGGCAAGAGATCCACCATTGAAATACAAAGGACGAGAAATAGTAGTACTGAAGCAAATACCAAGAATGGTAAGAGATAAAAGAAGAGAGTACCTATTTTTGACAAAACAATTGATAAAATATGAGGTAAATTTCAGGTGGTTAATACCTGAGGGAATATTGGTGACCCGGAAAGAAAAAAGGTGCAGACTAGACATAGTTGAGAGTGCAGAACAATTCTATGACCAGCACTTTACAATACAAGAGGAAGAAGAGAAAAAAGAGCTATTGGAGATACTGGAAGTGATAGCAGAAGGGAAGATACAACAAGAAGCAACTGAAACAGAAGAAAAAGAGAGAAGGGAAAGAGAAGGAGCAAAACAGAAAGAACAGAGAGAAATAAGATCAACTAGGACAATTAAATCAATCTACAAGTAAATAAGTAAACAATGGAAGAAGAAGTAAAATTATTACCAATTAACATAAATGGACTGAATTCACCAATGAAACAAAAAAGAAGGTTTGACAAATTAGAAAAAATCAAAATCAAATTTAATCTGTCTTCAAGAAGTACATATTAAAAAACAAGACAGTAAGCTACTAGAGTAGCCCAAAATTGGGAAATTATATTGCTCATTAGCACAGCAAAAGAAAAGGCTCTATATATTAATGAAACAATAAAGGCTAGACAAAGTTTTGCAGATGAAGAGGGGAGAATATTGATGTCGGAGGTAACAATAAATCAAAAGCAGATATTGCTTATAGGGATATATATGCCTAATAATAGACAAGATGAGTTTTATGGAAAACTCCACAAGAAAATTGTAGAATTAGAATATGAAAATGTTTGTATGGTAGGAGATTTTAATGCAATTGTAGATTCAGAAATTGACTACAAGAGTAGTAAAATAGGCCCCGTTTTTAATAGTTCAGTCAATGGGAGGGCAATCTCCGCAAAAGGTGGAATAAACTGCCTGTAGAAATTGGCAAATCCCAGAAAGCTCTGTAGCTGTCTGCGAGTACTTGGGAGTTTTCCAGTCTAGTACAGCTTTCACTTTTCCTGGGTCCATCTCTATCCCCTCATTGGAGATGCAATAGCCAAGGTAATCTAGTGAGGTTTTGTGGAACTCACACTTCAATAACTTTGCATATAGCTTGGCAGCTAGAAGTTTTTCCAGGACTTGCTGTACCAGCTTCACATGTTCTTCCAAGGTTTCAGAGAAGACCAAGATGTCATCGAGATAAACGAGCACTCCACGGTACAGGTGCTCATGTAGCACCTCATTTATGTACTGCATGAAGACTGCGGGTGCTCCTTGTAGCCCAAATGGCATGAAAGCTGCCAAGAAGGCAGTAAAAAGTGGTCTTCCATTCATCTCCCTCTCTGATTCGTATGCGGTAATACGCCTCTCTCACGTCCAGCTTGGTGAACACCTTGCCTTTAGCCAAGTGGTTCAACATATCTTTCATGAGGGGGAGGGGGGTAGGTGTTCTTCACACATGGCATTCAACTCCCGCAGATCAATACAGAGATGAACCCTGCCATCTTTCTTTTCTCTGAAAGGCACTGGGGCTGCTACTTTCGACTTCGCTGGTTCAGTGAAGCCCTGCTTCAAATTGATGTTGATGTACTTCCTCAATGCTACCATCTCCTTAGGAGTCATGGAGTACATTTTCAGCTTTGGCAGGGTAGCCCCAGGTACGAATTCTATTGCACAATCTGTGCCGATGAGGGGGAGGATAGTTGCAATCTTCCTCACTGAACACCCGCGCCAAGTCCCAGTAGTCTTTTGGTACTTGCCGGATCCCTGGGGGTTTTGCGTCTACTGCAGGTGCTGCAGGTTCTGGGCGGTCTGGGCTATTGGGTCCAATCATCCCCAGGTGTCCCTTTGACTCCACCAGTGGTAGTGGCCCAAAGCCAACAATCAATTTCCTAACGCTGTCCTCTCAGGTTATTATAGGTTCCCATTTGTCCAGCCATGCAAGCCCAAAGATAATTGATTCCTGCATTCTTAGAGCTATGATGAATCTGAGGAATTCTTAATGGCGGCCTATCTGTAACTTTTCCAATTCAGTAATTCGTGTAGCTACTCCTCCCCTAATTAGTGTTCCATCCACCTGCTCAAACCAAATGGGATGGTTATGTGTGTATGCCTAGCTGCTCCACAATCGACATGCTGATTAAGCATTGGGTGCAGCCGGTGTCCACGATTGTCCCAACCTCCCACCCCTGTTTCTGGCACTTGGAGTTTGGATTAGATGGTAAAGGGGTGGGTGGGTGCACTCACCATTGGGTCGTCTTCAGTATTCTGCTCCTCCTCTGAGGTGGAAGGGGCTTCCCCAATGGTCGGACTCTCTGTCTCTTTCTTTTCTTCCTCCACCTTCACTGAATTTTTGCACTGCCCAACATTGGTGGCTGGCTAAGGGGAGATGTGCCCCAGGCCCCTTTCTACTGTCTGGACTTATTTCCCCAATTTGGTGGAGGGCCCGTCTGCGCTCCAGGATGGAAGGGCGCTGATTTTGGCTTTGCTCCAGCGGCAAGAGGTTGGGTCGACTCACTGGTCACTGTGTGGAAGGAGCCACAATCTCCACTCCAATGTGCTGCCGAGTCTCTGCTAGGGAAGGAGAATGTGGGCTGGGCCAGGGTACACCGAGGTGGTCCTGAGCTAAAGAGGGCGTTGATCCCACTCACATTTAGCCATCCAAATTGGTCTGGGAGGCCGGTCAGAGAATGCCTGCGTGAGGGTGGCTGGGATCTCCATTCATCGGATCTGCTAGCCGATATCTGCTCTGACCTTCTCCAGTCGTGTGTTGGAGCTTCCCGGGCATCCCCCTGTCTCTCCAGCAGAAATTCCTTAGAGGTGATAAATCCTGAGGCTTTACCTAGCAGAAAAGGCAGATAATAGACAGGTAGTTTGAACATTTTCTTGTATGTTGCAAGTATTTCTTTCAAAAGATTTATGCAGCCATACAGTGACATTCAGAATGAAATGTTTAGGGAAATGATTCCTATATTTTCTCTTAGAGACATTTGAAGATTTAACATGTCCTCCTTTATATTATAATCATGTTTTTATTCCTCTTCTCCCCTCTCCTCCCTCTGCTTCACAGGGCGACACAATTGTTTCCTGTGATTCTTATGGTGTACTGAAACTGTGGGATATTCGGAGGGGAGTCCCAATGATCTCCATTGATGCTGGTCCACATCCTGGCAACCAGGTGGCTTTTGATCCTTCCGGTAAGATCTTTCTTGACACAGGGGATATTAAGGAAAAAAAGGTTTTTGCAAGGCCATTTGTCTGCAGTGCTGCAGTGCAGTGAGTGTTAAGAGTTTTAGAAACCTAATTAGATGTACTTCTACCATTTTCTTGTAGATATGTAGAACAGACTTGAGAGGTGAAAAATAAATAAAAATAAAATGTTGCTCTCATTGAAATTAATGAAATTAACAGAAACAAACCCATAGAAGAAATATGAAGGCTGCATAATATTCCATTTTTCTTTGATTCCAAAACTTATACCGTAGAACCTCCGGTCATGACTGTAATCTGTTCCAGGACTTGGGTCAGCACCCCATTTGGTCATGACTGGAAGCAAGACTGATTGCACATGCACACACGCACACACAAAGGCGTGGCAGGGGAAATCGCTGCAGCTGTGTTCGTGAACAGAGTGAAACATTTAGTGAATTTTTTGGTCACCACTTGATTTGGTCGTGATCAGAAGCGTTCGTGACCCAAGGTTCCACTGTACAAATATTTCTAATAAATATTATTACAGTAGACTTTATTCATGCCATAACAAATGGTCTTAGATTTACAAGGAAATTAAATATGCATGAACCCATGTAAATGGGTTAGTTTTACAATGCTTCCAAGGGCAGAAATGGCACCTGTTGTCAAGTTGTGCTTTTTGTCCTTTAGTATTGAAATAAGCACTCTCTTAAAACATTCAGGGATTTTTTTTAATGATGTTGGAATAATTGCATTTTTGTACTATCACAATTAGACTCCTTTTCACAAACACCCAAAACTATCTCAAAGGAAAGTTTGGTACAAACTTTACATATATAAGCCTAATTCAGAAGACTCAGACAATTGTCTTCTAGCTACTAAAATACTCAAATCAATTAATCTAGATGTAAATGGAAGAGAATATATGTAATCAGGATTGAACTGTGGAGTTATTGGTGCTCTCTGAACTTGGTTCAAGTAGACAGCAACCTGGTTAGATAATAAAACATTTCAGAGAACATAAAGAATTCCACAATTTAGATATCTTATTGTTCCAGGTATTGACCCATTCATAGTGAAATTCTAAGCCATCCTTACTAAAAATTACACATAGATACTATTCCTGAAGTATCAAACAGCCATTAGAATTGATAACTTGATGTTCCCTGAATTTACTCAATCCATTTTAAAACTGTAAATACTGTGTATGCATTATCGCATTTGATAGCTGCAAATTCTATGGCTTAATTGTGTCTTCTGAAAAAAGGCTTTCTTTTATTGAATCTCATTTAATTTGAACAAATGATTCTTTTTGGGAGAAATAATAGTAATTGCTCTATTTATTTTGAATGTATGACTAATTGCAGAACTGAAGTAGACAAAAACAATTGAAAAATATAAAAAATAAAATGTCCATAACATATAATAATATCCACAGATAGGTAAGAACTTTTTTATTATTCTAATTTGCGAGTGAGCATTTTAAGCAAAAAAAACATTTTTAATGCTTTTAGAGAAAGGGAGAATGATGTTTTTCATTCCATGCAGCCTCTCTTAGAAGCAGACAAAAAATCTCTGGTCTTCTTCCGAAAGAGTTAATTCCAAATAGCATCCAAAATTAAATCAGAGTCCGAGGCAAAGTATTGCTCAAAGATCCAATTTAATGAGAGCGCCATGTTGGCACATCTGGTGGAAACCCAAATCTGAGCTTCCTGGTTTTTCCCCACCCAGTTGAAAGTTCACGATCTGGCACCCACACCCACAAGCCCATCCCATGGTCCAATCTTCCCCTGCCACTCTGGCAGTTCCCCCCATCCAGTAGAGACAAAGGATGACCTTGGATTCTAGAAAGGAATTTTATTTTGGCTACATAGCATTTAACTCCGTACAATCCCCCACCCCGTTTTCCCACAATAGAAACAGCATAGCAGAATAATAGAAAGTGTGGCAGGCCAGAGATCCAAGAAGGAATTTTGCTGCAGGCCCGACAGCTGTTTTATTTCCCTTTTTCAAAATTGAATGAATCTTATCCTTAAAAATAAGATTATTTTCTCCTTTCCTTCCTTTCTTTCTTCAAGCAAATATTCCCTTTACAAAATAAGTACTGTACTTCCTTCTTATAATAATGGCATTCAGCTTAGTTTCATAAAATGATTGTCCTGATTTACACAGGCCCTTGGCTTTTCTGCCTATTAGAATAAGGCTAGAAAGTGGAATTTGCATTTCACTAATCAGTGTTCAGTCATCGAATCAGCAGCTGGAGCTAATGTTGAATAATAATGCAGTGCTTGGTTTCAAATACTCCAAAACACACACTCTTTCATGCAGCTCAGAGAAACAAAAAATCACAAAAGCCATTAAAACAGAAGGCATCTTATTCAATTTGTCAGTGTGGCTTATCATTCTGTTTTCCAAAGTCCTAAGGTTTGCATTAGCGATATTAGCCTACTGAAGAACATTTTACTAGCCCTGTTTTGATCCAGCAGTGTGCAGCCGCCACCAAAAAAGCTAATGCAATCCTGGTGGCAGCTCCGAAACGGTGCACAGAGGCACAGCCGCGATGTCGCATGAGACCTGGGTTGTATAAAGAGAGGCATAGAATCAAGGTCACGTGAAGTATTAGTATCGCTTTATAAAACCCTAGTAAGGCCACACCTGGAATACTGCAACCAATTTTGGTCACCATACTACAAAAAAGGTTTTGAGACTTTGGAAAAAAAAATTCAGAGAAGAGCAAGGCCTGGAGACCCAAAAATATGAAGAATGGCTGCAGGATTTGAGTTTGGCTAGTCTAAAGAAAAGAAGAATTGGGGGTGACATGTTTCCAGTACTTGAGGGGCTGCTACAAAGAAGAGGGAGTCAAATTATTCTCCAAAGCAACGGAGGGCAGGACAAGAAACAATGGTTATCTAATCAAAGAATTAAGAAGAAACTTCTTAACAGTGAGGACAATTAGCTAATGGAACAACTTGCCTCCAGAAATCGTGGACGCTCCATCACTGATGTTTTCAAGAAGAGTCTGGATAGTCACTTATCTGAAACACTGTAGGTTCTCCTGCCTGATCAGAGGGCTGGACTAGAAGACCTCCAGGGTTCCTTCCAGCTCTATTCATTCTATTCTAAATGTATATATTTCAACTACCAGGCTGAGGGTGTGGGTATGGGAATAGGTGCATAAGGATAAGATTTCCAGCATGAACATGTTTTATGATATTTTCAGAAAATGTTGAAAAAAGAGAAATAGAAGTTGGAAAAAACTATTCAGAATGCTTTGGGCAGGGATTGGATGAAAAGATCTTCATCATTCCTCCTAGCCATATCATTCTATGATTCTATGAAATCCTATCTGGCTTTTTAAAAAACATACATATTTTTATTATCGCTTCTAATGGTGCAATCTCATCTATGCGTTTTTCAAATATACGGGTTTTTTAAAGAAAGCAGGTAATTGAATTGTAGCCTAAATAATATTGGTATTCAAGTCCTCTGCAAAAGATACTTAGTACAGGTAATCCTTAACTTACAATCACAATTGAGTCCAGAATTTCTGTTGCTAAGTGAAACTTTTGTTAAGTGAGTTTTGCCCCAATTTATGACCTTTCTTGTTAAGTGAATCACTACAGCTGTTAGTAAATTGGTTGTTAAGTGGCTTCCCCATTGTCAGAAGGTCACAAAAGTGATCACATCATGCCAGAACTCTGAAGTGGTCATAAATATGAGTTAATTGCCAAGCATATGAATTTTGATAATGTGATCATGGAAATGCTGCAATGGTCATAAGTGTGAAAAATGATCATTAGTCCCTTTTTGCATTGCAACTTTGAACAGTCACTAAACGTTGTAAGTTGAGGACTATCTGTATTTTAATAAAAGTTTTCTGTTCATATAACAAAATATAAAACAATATATAAACAGCTTTTATGATTAAGAGCAAGACTGTATATCTCAAAATAAGATTTTCTTAGTACTGTATTTGCAGAGAAAAACCTGACAGGTAGGCAAAGTCATCCTTTTCCTACATTCAGGTTTTGATGAGCCTGTCAGGTTTAGCATTTAAGGCAGCAGGCTAGAACTCAAGAGACGGGGGAAATCGAATCCTAACCTAGGCATGAAGCCAGCTGGATGATCCTAGGCCAGTCACTTTCTCCAGCCCTAAGAATATAGCAATTAAAACCTTTCCAAGAAAGCTCCAGAAAACTGTCCAGGCATTTTCCAGGAGTCAGTGCTGATTTGAAGGTGCAAATTCTTTTTTAGATTTCAATATTATTTGTTACTAGCATTCATATCTATGGGGAAAAAACATTTGCCATCTAAACTTCTACTTTTAGAGCTTATGTACACTTGCGATGATATACTTAATAATTAGTCTAAATCCTTACTTCTAAATCCCAAACTCCTTTGAAACATAATTGTTCTTCAGATAATATAGATTATATTTATTTTTGCTAAATGTTTACCTAATATTTCCTATACATGCAATCTCAGTTTATCTGATTTTATCAATTTATCAATTGGAATTATAAAATGCTCCATTCAAACAGAGAAAAGGGGGAAACTGTTGTTATTGCTTATTACTTCTGTCTTTCTTCTAAAAGCTCTTATATTGCTAACCAGGTGAAAACTAGATAACTGCAAGTATCTTTTCCTATTCTTGTAGCAGGAGATGCTTTGATTTGCAGTTATCAGCATGACAATGACAGATGATGGGCCGAGGTGGCGCAGTGGTTAGGGTGCAGTACTGCAGGCCACTTCAGCTGACTGCTATCTGCAGTTCAGCGGTTCCAATCTCACCGGCTCAAGGTTGACTCAGCCTTCCATCCTTCCGAGGTGGGTGAAATGAGGACCCAGACTGTGGGGGCTATATGCTGACTCTGTAAGCCGCTTAGAGAGGGCTGAAGGCCCTATGAAGCGGTATATAAGTCTAACTGCTATTGCTATTGTAGTTATACAGGCAGTAGAAGCCTTCAGGTTTGAAAGGCTACTATAAAAATCCTGTCTAGAATAG